TATAAATTTTTTTTTATATTCAGCTTATATTGAAGGATGACCTTATGACAGAGGAAGAGAACTGCTCTGCTCCAGTACGTGACCCACAACTCTCTGATGAGGTGTGTTTAATGTTGTTGTTATTATTTTTATTAGTAGTAGTAGTAGTAGTTGTTGTTGTAGTAGTAGTGCATTTAATTGTAATTATTTAACTTAATCAAAATATAGAAATGAAACAGAGTGTGTGTCCTAATTTATGAACGTATGCACTAGTGTAACATTGTGGGGACCAGAGGCATGTTAGAGAAGCTGTGAAACACACTTAGTCCTGAATACACACAGTAAGGTCTGACGTAGTGGGGACCGGGACCCTTGAGTACTACTGTCTAACTAATATATATATATATATATATATATATATATATATATATATATATATATATATATTTTTTTTTTTTTTTTTTTTTTTTTTCAGCTTTTATTGAAGGATGACCATATGACAGAGGAAGAGAACTGCTCTGCTCCAGTAGGAGACCCACAACTCTGATGAGGTGTGTTTATAATAATAATAATAATAACAATTATTATTATTATTATTATTATTATTATCAGTTGTAGTAGTAGTAGTAGTTGTTGTTGTAGTAGTGGTGTATTTAATTGTAATTATTTAACTTAATCAAAATATAGAAATGAAACAGAGTGTGTGTCCTAATTGGTGAACATATGCACTGACATTGTGGGGACCAGAGGCATGTTAGAGAAGCTGTTAAACACACTTAGTCCTCAATACACACACAGTAAGGCCTGACATAGTGGAGACCGCGAACCTTGAGTACTGCTGTCTATGTCTGATAATATTTTTTTCTTCTGGAGAAAGTCTTATTTGTTTTATTTTGACTAGAATAAAAACAGTTTAAATTTTTTTTAAACACCATTTAAGGGACAAAATTATTAGCCTCTTTAAGCTATATTTTTTTCTCGATAATTTACAGAACAAACCATCATTATACAATAACTTGACTAATTACCCTAACCTGCCTAGTTAACCTAATTACCCTAGTTAAGCCTTTAAATTTCACTTTAAGCTGTATAGAAGTGTCTTAAAGAATATCTAGTCTAATATTATTTACTGTCGTCATGGCAAAGATTAAATAAGTCCATTATTAGAAATGATTATTAGAAATAGTTATTAAAACTATTATGTTTAGAAATGTGTTGAAAAAAATCTTCTCTCCGTTAAACAGAAATTGGGGAAATAATAAACAAGCTGTCTAATAATTCAGGGGGGCTAATAATTCTGACTTCAACTGTATATAAAGAGTTTCATTGCAGAACGAGATATATCCATTTAAAAAAATGTTGGTAATTTTGACATTATTTTTCAGGACATCAACAGTCAAGTTCATTTACAATTTCTGTACATTAAACTATAACTTGAGCTCAGTGAAGGCCAGGAACACAATATTTTCAAATCCAGGATATTTTTTATTTAATTTTATGTCTATAATTAAGTAAAAAAACATGCCAAAATGCTACATATTAATCCAACCCACATTGTCAAACATCTTAAATTGGTTAAAAAAAAACTATACACCATAAATATATGGAATAATATATGCAAAGATTGATTAATAATAATAAGATTCTAAGTTAGATTTGGCCAGAATGTACACAACATAACATAACTTTATTATTTTTTTTTTTTTGCAAAACGCTACATCCACCTTAGGCTATATTATACTACATTAATACCATTACCAAAAGCTAGTGAATCAATGTTTTGTTTGATAAGTAAGATTAAGTTAGTTAGATAAATGACCTTTAGCTTGGTACAGAAAGAGTGGAGGGCGGCTCCTTCCACACCGCTGCAGAAAACCAAACCTGTATGATTAGAGCGGGCGGAGCTGAGTCAGTGACACAAACTTGCCTCGCTATGTCATATTTAATGAATTATTTCACTGTAATAATAATAATAATAGCTTATTTATTTGGTTGTGAAAAAGCTAAACCGTTTTCTCCATAACAACATGTGCCCTTTAAGTTCCTTTGTAATAAATCAACAACAACAAGAATTAATTATAAATATAAGGGGCAACCGCATAAATAAATCTTCAGATAGGCTACTCAGCTACATGTAAGAAATTATTTAAAAAATAAACTTATAAAGGACACTTAGAAATGTCGCCTTGCAGACAGGTATCTTGTGATGGGGAGTAGGAAAAAAGGCGCTCCTAGGCCTTCTCTTGACATCAGCGGAGACTCGTTCCCTGCTGCATTTGTGTATTGTTGACGCAAAAGTATCTTATTCTGGTCCACTTTTGTGGCCTTTTTATAAATTTTTGTGAAGTGGAAGACTTCATCTTCTATCGCTAAATCAATGAGCAAACTCTGAGCACTTCACCGGCGATGACCCTCTTCCCAGGGGATGCTAAGCTCGCGCCGCATCCTGAACGCTCTCTAACTGTTATATCGCACTTTGTAAAGTAACTGGTCTGACGGAAATTGCGTTTTGTGAAAAAAAAATACGTTTTGTACTTGGCCTAAAATGTGCATTCTTAAATGTTATTAATGGCAGCAACTCACACATAGATTAAGGTACATCTGAACAGTGATTTCCAATAATAAAATCCAAATGTCAAAAAATGCCGTTTATCGCATTTTGCAACCAAACTCTTCATATGTATGTGTGTGTTATGACTGTATGACTGCAGAAGAGAACTGCTCTGTTCCCACAACTCAGTATTTCTGGGACTTGAAAACAGACGCTCGGCAGATTTTAAAGGGTGGAATCTTGATCAAATCGTGGGTTTACACACAAACATGTAATACAGTGCCAGATTTTCTGGATGTTATATACACATTTGTATTTGCAAACATATACCATATTGTTTTAAATGATGTATTTTTGTGTGGGTTTTTACATTCAGAGAAAGTTACAGTGGATCGTGATTTTGGAGGAGGTGAATTCCAGTCTAAAAGGTAAAAATATTATTTATTTTTCTGATCAGAATTTTTCTTTTTTCAGAATGTTAATTTTTATCATGATATGTATGTGCTGTGTTTGAAAACTATTTTTAAGCTACCATCACACGCTTTTACCCATTAAAAAGAACAACACAAAATCAAATAAATATTTTGGTAAGCTTTCTGCAGAGAAGTCAACTCTCAGACTTGATTTTTACTTTCAGAGTCCCCTCAAGTATCATCACCATGGTACAGTGTCTGTGAAGATAGTGAAGCAGACCCAGCATTCACAAAAAAGATAGGTATGATCATTTAAGTTAATTTGTGACTGACTTGTGTTATTGTACAAGTCCAAATGCACAAGCTCATTTACATAACATGTAGGGTAAAACAGGACAGAAGCACATTACTTCTATGATGATTTCAGTACAGTCGCACTTGATGTCTCATTTCATGTTAGTTAAACAATATTGCTAAATACTTTGGAAAAATATACTAATTGCATATCTGGTTACACTTTATTTTGATAATCTACTACTACTACTAACTACAAGTAACTGCAACTACTTGTCAACTAACAGCCATTAGACTGTCTGTTAGAATCAACACTGCTAATGCTCTACTAAATTTATATAAGAGTTAGTCATATTGTACTAATTTTGAGCCTAACTTAGTCTGCTGTACTATTTACTGAGACCAATGAGAGTTGGTTTTATTGAGGTAACCTTAACTGTCAGCTAATACTCTACACTCTAAAATTAATAAAAATAAGTAATAATAATTAAATTAGCAGTTTTTCATAATTTGTTTTTATGAAATCTGTTTGTTTCTGCTTTTGAATTGCATTATGGGATCTTGATCTTTCTTCCAACAACTTTTAATCTTAAAAAGTAAAAAAAAAGTGACTTTTTGTTTGGGTTGTTGTTGTATATTATGCTACAGAAACCTTGTAATAAACTGCCAGTACATTTTCTGTTATTCTAAAGACTTATTTATCTCTATATATTATTTCTTATACATTATATTATTTCAAACTACTAAAATGTCAGTAAAAGTCACTTTGTTAAACTGTAGAGTTGAATTTTCAACATCAAAAGTGCACAGAGCAGAGATCAACATCCCATAATGCAATTCACCACCACACACAAAAAAAACACTTGTAAATCACAAAATACAGGAACTGGTAATTAACAGATATGCGTTACAGTGTAGTGTTTTGAGCTAAACTTGAGCTAACAGTCTGCTAATACTCTACTGCAGTGGTTCTCAAACTTTTTTCATCAAGTACCACCTCAGAAAAAAATTGTCTCTCCAAGTACCACCAAAAATGAGCAGTATTGAAATACAGTAGCGTAGTAGGCTCAGTAAAGCGGCTACAACTCTGCTCAGATAAAAAAAACGTGGCAGATTACCTCAGAAATATAGGCTATATGTCATATATGTCATATTATATACATCATTTTTGATAAATTTTAAAATATATGTAGCATGTACATGACATATTTCATTCCTCCGCGTACCACTAGAAGGAAGCCCGCGTACCACTAGTGGTACACGTACCACAGTTTGAGAACCACTGCTCTACTGATAATCAGATGAGCGTTAGTCTTATTGAACATTCTATGCAAGTATGCAAATACTCTAATACATAATACTTTACGGTGAGATAATTAACGTAGTTGCAGAGTTACGCATAGTTAGAAGAATGTCTAAACTGGACTATGGAATAAAGTGTAACCCCATTAACCAGTTTTGAATTTAATAGTAAGTATTTTTTAATCCATCCCCATCTTAAGTATTTTTAATAATAGGCAAGACATATTTTTCTAGCATTTTCTATCACAATATTAAACTAACATAACAGCACATGTTGTAAAAATGACTGAACATTTATGCAACTAAAACCACTATTTTATATTTTAACCACCCATAGGTCCCATAAAGAGAAGATCCTGGAGCAAACACGAAGTACATGCTGTGTTGAAAGCTGAACCATTGGCTCTAAAAACCAGAGATTGGTCAGCTTTGGATTTTTATATTAAAAACTGAATCTCGACTCTGAATAACACTTTTATAGTAAGTACACACTATACATCATTAGTTTAGCACTAACTCTACATTAATAGACTTTAGGAAGCAGTTTATAAATACAGCTTCAAACGCTGTATTCTTGACTTGACTTAATTGTATTTTCATGCTTTGTAACTGATTCATTTTTCATTACTATATTATGTATTGCATTATTTACAAACTATTTGTATATAAGAGTAGTTGGTGGTTTTTAAGATAATTCAGAATGAGTTAATAAATGATTAATAAACTATTCAAATGAACATTTATACATGTTATATTCAGGCAGTAATTGTAACCATGTGTGTTAGTAAATGCTATAATAACACAACTTCATGCAGTTTTGTGACCCTAGGACTGTTTATACTTGATAAATACCTTATAAATGACAATTTAGGGCTCAGTATCTAATGAACAATAAATCTTTGCAATCTTATTAAAAAAATTCTGTAAAGTCTAAACATTGCAAAATAAAAATACAACATCATTTCAAAACAACATAATTAACAACATGACAATATTCATTTCAGTGTTTCTGTGATGTTTGCACTGTACAGTAATTTTATATTTTGATAAGATTGCAAAGATTTATTTTTCATTAGATAGTTTCATTTGTGTATCTTGAAATTAATGAAAAAAAAAATATATATATATATATATATCTTCTTTGGCCTTAGTCCCGTATGATTGCGGGGTCGGCTCTTTTTGGAACAAGTCCTTCAGTTTTAGACTTGTCCATATGATAACGACTTTTTTACACCTTCCGGCCAGCCTGTCATATGGGCCTGTCACACTCATACACTACGGACAATTTAGCCTTCCCAATTCACCTGTAGCATGTCTTTGTACTGTGCCTTTGCACCCGGAGGAAACCCACACGAATGCAGGGAGAACATGCAAACTTCTCACAGAAATGCCAACTGAGCCGAGGTTCAGACCAGTGACCCAGCGACCTTCTTGCTGTGAGGCGACAGCACTACCTACCGCGCCAATCACTCCCCCTTTTAATTAATTTATTTTTTTCTGTTTAGAATATAGCTGAGATTTTAATTGTCATTTATAAGGGATTTATAAAGCATCAATAGTCCTCACTTTACATTAGCTCACAAAACTGCATGAAGTTGAGTTCATAAAGCATTTATTGTTAGACAGAGTAACCATTACTATATGCCTGATTAATAAAGATATATAAATGTTGGGTAACACTATAATAACTGCACACAATTAATTATTTATGAAACATTAGCAAATAGTTAGTTGAACGTTTGTTAAGCATTAACGCTACATTAATAGACATTAGTAAGCAGTTTATAAATTATATTTATAAATATAAATTACAAATATTATTGACTTATAAGCACAATTATAATGTGCTTAATGATTGTTTTCATTCTTGGTAAATAATGCAATACTTAATTTAGTAATGAAAAATACATCATTAACAAACCAGATATTTAAAAGTAGTTGGTGTTTTTTTTTTTAGATAATTCAGAATGTGCAAGTAAATGATTAATAAACTATTCAAAATAACATTGATAATTCTTATTATTCAGGCATATAATAAGTTGTTTAGTATGTTAATAAATGCTTTATGAACTCAACTTCATGCAGTTTTGTGATCTAATCTAAAGCGAGGGCTATTCATGCTTTATAAATCCATTATAAATGACAATATAAGGCTCAGTTACATTATATACAGGGAAAAAATGACTATTAATTTCTACTTATTACAAGATGCTCAAATGAAACTGTATCAAATGAAAAGTAAATCATTGCAATCTTGTCTAAATATAAAATTGCTTTACACGTAATGTATTGTTAAATTATTATATTGTTGTTTTATCAAATGATGTTGTATTTCGACACTCCTGTTATTCAGCAATGTTTAAAATTTACAGTAATTGTATTTGTTTAGGTACGATTGCAAATACTTATTGTTTATTTGATACTGAGCCTGGCAACGCAGTGGCACAGTAGGTAGTGCTGTCACCTCACAGCAAGAAGGTCGCTGGTTCGAGCCCTGGCTGGGTCAGTTGGCATTTCTGTGTAAAGTTTGCATGTTCTCCCTGTGTTGGTGTGGGTTTCCTCCAGGTGCTCCTACATGCGGTACAGGTGAATTGGGTAGCCTAAAATAGTCCGTAGTAAATGAGCGTGAATGAGTGTGTATGTGTAAGGATGTGTCCCAGGGATGGGTTTCAGCTGGAGGGGCATCTGCTGCATAAAAACGTGCTGGATAAGTTGGTGGTTCAATCCGCTGTTGCGACCCCGGATTAATAAAGAGAGAAAACCAAAATGAAAATAAATGAATAAATGAATGATTCTGAGCCTTTAATTGTCATTTATAAGGGATTTATAAAGCATCAATATTCCTCACTTTAGATTAGATCACAAAACTGCATGTTGAGTTCATAAAGCATTATTTAACATGCAGAAAAACATATTATATGCAGGGCTCCAAACCGGTTCAAGGAACGGAAACGAAAAACACAATCAAATGACATTTTTCAGGAACAGAAACGAAAACCGAAAAAAAAAGATCAACTTTAATCGTTCTGAACAGAAACGTTTATAGTTAAACGGTTAATAATGTTATTTTATCATTCTCTTTATTATATGAATTTGGGAGACAAAAAGCATTAATTTAAAGCATGTGAACAAATGCGATGGTGACGCTCGTTTTTATATAAACTATAAATGTCTGGCCGTGATGCGTATTTAGGCCTATGCCAGTCTATAAAAAGATAATGTAGCTTAAAACACTTTAAAATTTTAGAGAACGTAATAAAGTTTGCACAACCAATGTTTGGTCTTAATAACCTGCCCATAATTAAACGTCATGTAGCCTACTTTTTGATTACTTGACCAGCGGATTAATGGCAGAACCAGCGGATAAACGAGATCTGAGCATAATAGGTATGACCAATATGTGCATAACCAATATGCAAAGTCAAGAGAGTGCACGACTGTCTAAAAAAGGGTAACGTAGCCTAAACTGCGCACACTTGATTATGTAATGTGTGAAATTGTGGACGCATCTCAAAGAGCAAAGCATAACTTATTAAATGCCCATGCTTAATCGGTCATCGATAAGGTCTATCGGTTTTAAAGGGTTACCGACAATAAATCAATCGAGTAATCGTTAGCATCCCTAGTTTAATCAATGAATGTGTTAAATTTTATATTTATATTAAAGATGAATAAGGCAAGAATATGATAATGATACTTTTTAGATTTTTACACCTACAAAAATATCTTGTGGTAGGGCACTTGTTTAATAAAAATCTTTGTATATAGGTTATCTGTAAAAAACGCAATCAGAGCCAATGACATGTAGAAGTAGTGTTGCCTAAACGGCTATTAAATTTCTAATAAAATTAAAACCAAAGTATAACTCATTGCATTTTTCGTTTGATAAAAATATACAGAAACGAAATAAAATCATAAGGATGCTAGTTTGTAATTTATGTTAATAATAATAAAATGACATGCTTAGACTATAAGCTTAACGGCTATATGCTGCCAATAGGCCATTAATAAATATTATTTTACTTTGTACTGGATTATAATGTAAATTTTACAATAAAAACTAAATATAGCATGTCTTACTGTCATTTAAAACAAGTAATTCAAAATACACATCAGAACTGTAGACCTGCAGTGTGTAAACTGTATACAGGGGGTGTTGGTTAATCAATAGCCTACAGCACATAATTGAACTAATTATGATGCTAACTGTAATTTAGCTCTGAATATAGGCCTACGATATATTTTCTGGTGTTTAATTTTGCATGAGCAAATAGCAGTATAGCCTAAAGTAAATTTTTAAAAAAGATTATCATTTACCCTACCTGCAGCACATGTGAGAGGTGGATCTGCAGCAAATTCACTTACACACTAAGCTATATCTATTTAATTTATAACAATGTAAACTTGACTTCGCAGGCCGTTCATCTTTGAACGCAAAAGGCATTTTTAAGTGTCCTAACTTGACTGCTGCTGCATTATGGGATGTTTCTTTACAAAACTGTAAAAGTGCGCTTTAGCATGTCAAAATGAAAGCAAACGTTCAAAAGAGTTCTGTGTTTTGTCAATTTTACTAATATTAATAATAATGGATATAATAAATTTAAATAATAATTGCACTGTGCAGTGTACTAAATATTTTTATTAGGCTACATAACTGAAAAACTATTTCATAACAATTTTTATAATTTTTACTGCTATTTCATATTATACAACATCTAAATGTAGCGCCGGGCCTGCGCTCGATACCAAGGAGTGGGGCTGTGTGTAGCACCTTTAAACAGCATGTCAATCAATAACCAAAAGCAAGTTCATATTATAAATATATCTTTAATGATACTTATTGAAAATTCATTTAATCTTACCCCTCGTATAGATTTTTTAGTTGCACCATTAAAAAAACAGAGCACTCTATAGCCCTGCAATACTTTGTAATTAAATAAAGTTTTTTTTTTTTCTAGAAAACTGTTTTCGGAATATTTTGTCTATTAAGGAACGCAAGAACAGAACCGAAAAAATATAAATTCTGCTCAGAGTGAACCGATTGGATTTTCTTTTTTTTTTTTTTTTTTTTTTTAGCCCTCATTATATGCCTGAATAGTAAATGTATAAATGTTCATCTATATAGTTTTTTAATCATTTATTTACTCATTCTTAATGATCTTAAAAAACACCAATTATTCTTAGACAGTTTGTAAATAATGCAATACTTCATTTAGTTATGAAAAATGAATTATAAACAAAGTATGAAAACACAAAAATTGAGCACATAACACATGCTTATAAGTCAACAAAAGAGCATCTAGCTGTGTTTATAAACTGCTTACTAATAATGTAGAGTTAATGCTTAACAAATGATGTCTATTTGGAGTTTTGGTGGCTTGGTTATATGATGAAGGTCTCTGTGCATTTGTGGGGTTCAGTTTTTTTCAAATAGTTAAAATACGACAGAAACAGAAATAGAACATACTGGTGGGTTTTAAGAGTTTACCCAAAAATGTACATTATATTATTAATTACCCTCATCTCACTCTAACCCCCTGAGACCTTCATTCATCTTCAGACTCAAAGGAAGATAACTTAGATGAAGTGCAAGAACTCCTCATCCTCCATAGACAGCAAGGGATTGAAACAATATGAAGGAGAGGAATTAATAACAGAATCTTCATTTTGGGGTGAACTAACCCTTTAATATTGTTTGCTATTGCACTTAACTAAATGTGTATGCAGACATGGAAGAGTTATGTGGAAGCTTGTTATACCCAATGAGAACTGCTTTTAGACATGCAAGAGAGTTTCATGGATTTTGTGTTTACTGTTTTTTTTTGTGTTTAAAGGTTTTGTGGAAATTGTTTATAATAAATATAACATTTATTAAATCTATTCTGGACCATTTCCTGATTGGATCTTGAGGTTCCTTCTGTATTCAAATTACATTTTTTATAAACTGACCTGCTCTTCAAATGAAAATTCTAAAGCAGTTTACTGTCAAATTACTTGATTGAGGTTTAAAATTTAATATTAGTAAGGGTGCTGATCTGATCCCCACGTTGCCTAAAAAACGGTAATGTGTGTGTAGACCTGGTCCTTACTTTGACTCAATACCGGTAATGTGTGTGTAGACCTGGTCCTTACTTTGACTCAATACCGGTAATGTGTGTGTAGACCTGGTCCTTACTTTGACTCAATACCAGTAATATGTGTGTAGATCTGGTCCTTACTTTGACTCAATACCGGTAATGTGTGTGTAGACCTGGTCCTTACTTTGACTCAATACCGGTAATGTGTGTGTAGACCTGGTCCTTACTTTGACTCAATACCGGTAATGTGTGTGTAGACCTGGTCCCTACTTTGACTCAATACCGGTAATGTGTGTGTAGACCTGGTCCCTACTTTGACTCAATACCGGTAATGTGTGTGTAGACCTGGTCCTTACTTTGACTCAATACCGGTAATGTGTGTGTAGATCTGGTCCTTACTTTGACTCAATACCGGTAATGTGTGTGTAGACCTGGTCCTTACTTTGACTCAATACCGGTAGTGTGTGTGTAGACCTGGTCCCTACTTTGACTCAATACTGGTAATGTGTATCTGGAACTGGTCCTTACTTTGTCTCAAAACCAGTAAAGTGTGTGTAGAATTGGTCCCCACTTTGTCTAAAAATCAGTTGTGTATGTGGCGGACCCCACTTCTACACAAAACCTGAAATGTCCCCACAAGTGACCACTGTGTCAGGTCTAAAAAAAAATTTGCGGAATATCCAAAATCTGAAGTGATTTTATGAAATAGTTTGTGTTTTTGTGTGGCAAACAATTTTTTTTATGTCTCTAACATCATCAGAAAGGGCGGTCCCCATTACGTAACCACCGTGACAGGTGACCCCCACAATGCACAAAAACAAGTATGTGTGTGTGTGTGTGTGTGTGTGTGTGTGTGTGTGTGTGTGTGTGTGATGAATAATGCATGAGGGTTCATTAAGATGAGTGTGTGGTGTGTGCGTGTGCACGTGTATGTGTGTGTACCCCTCCTCTTTGCTGTACAGCGTCTCCTGCCATCTGGATTCGTGCCATGAATGCCACCGTTTACAGAGAGAGAGAGAGAGAGAGAGAGAGAGAGAGAGAGAAAGAGAGAGAGAGAGAGAGAGAGAGAGAGAGAGAGAGAGAGAGAGAGAGAGAGAGAGAGAGCATAAAGTATTTGAAAGCATCTCAACATAATACAGATGTAAATTTTTACATTTAAAAGACTCAGCTTTGGCTAATAGCTTGTTCTTTCCAAAAATAAAAAGCACAATATTTGAAAATCGTCTGATGTGTTTTTTGAAAGCAACTTACAGAGCATTTAAAATATAATGTTATTTATTTTTCTAGTAATGTCCATAGTATTTAAAACGTTTTGCAAAGGTCAATTATTGTGGAAGGATTGATTTGTTTCCCCTTTGACCTCATTCATCATTGATATTTCAAGTATGTTTCTAAGTCCTGTCTGTATGTCACAGATTGGCCAGGCTCTTCCACCAATTTAACACAATGCCCATCATCACCTGAGTTTTAATCATGCACAGCTGCACCTTATCACCGTGAGACAATATAAACACACACCTCACACCACTCTTTGTCCGGGCTCGTTCATATGAAGTGGACTTATAACGAATACTCTCCACGTAGTCATTATCAGCGATCGACCATTCAGAAACTTACCTATTCTCTGTTTTATCCCCAGTTTGTCCAGTCAGCCCCGTGTCCAGTTGGAGGTGTGTGTTTCATCATTGTCGTCTCCGCAACCCATCTAGTGTGTGCTCCATCATTCTGTCTCATCCCCTACTCATCTGGTGTGTGTATTCGGTCAGCATCAATATCATCATCCATACTAAAAGGAATACGGACAGTTACATCTCCTTCGTCTCAACTAAACAAAACCCTGCATATCCTTCTATTGCTCTGCTGTAAAAATAAACGTTTATATTTTCTACTCACCCAGTTTGTCCGTCCGTTTCCTAACACTGTATCTATTCAGTATTTCATGACAATACATTTGTAAAAAGAAGTATGCTTGCTTTGTATAAATGCACACTTCTAAACTTCATTCATTCATTTATTGATTCATTCATTTTCTTTTCAGCATAGTCCCTTTATTAATCTAGGGTCTCTACAGTGGAATAATCCAGCATATTTTTTATGCAGCAGATGTCCTTCCAGTAGCAACCCAACATTGGGAAACACCCATACTCTTTTGCATTCACACACATACACAATGGCCATTTTAGCTTATCCTATTCACCTATACCCCATGTCTTTGGACTGTGGTAGAAACCGAAGCACCCGGAGGAAACCCACACCAACACGAAGTAAACATGCAAACTCCACACATAAATGCCAACCGACTCAGCTGGGGCTTGAACCAGTGACCTTCTTGCTGTGAGGCAATTGTGCCACCCTCTGCACCACCGTGTCGATTATATATTATTAAGAGGTTACAACAATTTAGTGTGATTCAAGATATTCTGGAGATGGTATACAAGAATTTGGTTGGTTTTAGCAGGATTGCATGATGTGGACTGTTGCCAATTAAGGAATAGCAAAAACTGTGTAGAGTAGTAAAAAGTGCCAGTACAATTGTAGGTAAAGCACAATGACAGCTAAATGAAATGTATTTGATGACAATTAAACAGAAAGCACATGTCATTATTGAACATTGTCCCCATCCCTTGAATAAAAAAAATCAGCTTTTGCCATCAAAAAGACGTTTCAGCCAATCTCAAGTATAAAGAAAAATGTGTATCAAATGTCCTCTGTGTCGACTGCCATTAGAATGTGAAATACTGGATTTAATTATGAATAGGGCTTAACAGAGATTTTATTTATGTGATAATATTGAATGAATTTGTGTTGCCTGTTTTTCGGGATGTGTTAATGTGAATCCTGGTGTGGTAGTGTGGTGAAGCCAAACATAAATTTATACTTGTGAACAATAAAGAAGGTGAAGTATAGAACAATATTTGGCTAAGATACAATTATTTGAATATCTGGATCTGAGAGTTCAGACAAAACAATCTCAATTCAAAGTTCTTAGCAATGCAGATTACTAGTAAAAAAAGGTCACACTTTATTTTGATGATCCATTTGTTGAATATAAGTTACATTGCATCTGCATGCCAACTTATTCCCATTAGATTAAAAGTAGACTGTTAGGTTGGGGTTAGGGTTGGTGTAAATTGACATGTACGTGCAAAGATTCTTATAGTTAAATGTGTTGACGAAGCAGTATCAACAGATCTTAAGCAGATAGTCTACTAATACTCAAATAGACCATCAAAATAAAGTGTTACCACAAACATTTTAGAGCATAAACAAAAAGGAAATGTACTAAATATAAAAATCAAACATTTTGGTATAAAACAAAAATTAATAATGACCTATCTGCAAAAAAAAAAAGTTTTTTTTAATTTTTTTTGTCTTGTTTCCAGTCTAAATATATTAAAATTCTTAAATCAAGATACTTTTTCTAGACAAACAAAACCTATTGACTTGTTTTCAGAAATAATATGCCAATATTAAGTGAGTTTTTTCTAAAAAGAAAGCTAAATAATCTGCCATTTGGGATTTAAAATTTAGTTTTTTCATTTGACATAAGATTATTTTTCTTACCACATTAGCAGATCATTTTGCTTGTTTTAAGGAAAAACTAACTTCATTTTGGCATAGTATTTCCTAAAACAAGACAATATTCTTTGCTTGTCTAGAAAATGCTTCTTGATTTAATTTTTAGAAATTTGGACTAGAAACAAGACAAAATACCTAGGAAAGCATTTTTTGCCGTGTATTGATGGCTATTCCTATGAATCTACCCTAATAAAGAGTTTATTAAGGCAAATTAAGACCCAGATTCATTGGATTTACAACTTAGGGTACAGGTAAGTGGTTGCAAACAATTTATTTCAGCTGAATTTTACCAAACAAATAAAGTTGAACATTACCAATTTTGATTTGTTTGTTAAAATTCCGTCCCTATAATTTGCTTGCAACAATTTTGCAAAAATCTGAAATTTTTTCAGAGTATTTTTACAACTTGTTTATTATAAATGTCCAATTACAAACATTATAGGATGGCATTCACATAAAATTGTATTTAAGTATTATATTATCATACTGCAAATTCTAAGATGTCCAATCAAAAACATCCTAAACCAACTGTCATTTAATAAATGTATACTATAATAAAAAATTATCAAGTCCTAAATCTTACATTCAGTTCAACCTTTATTAATTTCATAATAATTGTTTCCTTAACAAAATATTTTAAAGTGTTATTTTGCAAGGCTAATCATCATTTTTAATGCGGTAGACATTTTATGCAAATTAATTTAATAGCAATCTTAGCCATATGTGACTCATAATGCTATGAGGGGCCCCATAGAGGGTAAGGGCCCACTGTATGAGGGTCCCGTATGTCAGTCCCCAGCATGGGGGCTTGAAAAAAATCATATAAAACATTTATTGTTCACAGCACCACTAATCTTCTTGACTATTGTGTGGTTGTCATTCAAAAGCATCTAAAATACAATACTACATTTGTCTTCAAACCTAAGTACATTAAGTAAGTGCAACTTAAAAATTAAAAATGAGTTTGTACACTGAATAAAATTATACATACTACTGTACATTCAACAACCATGTTGTCACTTTAATGTGACCTAAGATGTGAGCCTCATTCCTGCCACTTGCATTGCCTTTATCTAGGCAGATGTATGTTATTCGAGTACTTTTAGTCTTGTGTTTTAAGAATGCTATAAATGCAAAAATCATTTGGAAACCAATATGCAAAGAATAGCCATGTTTTCTGGGACTGTGCCATTATTAAAGTCCATTGAAGAGGCATAAATATTTGCCCTACCATATTTTTTGACAGTAAACTTTTTTTTTTTTTTGGATACATTATAAAGATACATAACTAAGAAACACGTTGTTGGTGGATTTTATTCTTGTGTTTGGCACAAAAGAATCCTACCCTAAAATTCATTTCATGGACCAAATCTGTCAAAAATCCCTTTATTCTTATTAATAGTGACACTTTAGTTTATGGTATATATTTTATTCCCTGAACAGACCATTAACTAAAACGT